AAAAAAAAAATCCCTTTCCAACACTTTTTGGATTGGTAAACTGAAGGTTGTTTCTCTTACATTTCTCGAATAATTTTTCCCTTGAACTTTTACTCTAAGGATGCTTAAGTGCTTTCTAGGTCATATTTTAATTAGAAGCACAGCATATAAAGCCTATTTAATGTTAAGAAGTACTAAATGACTCCAGATACAAAAACGAAAGAGAAGTTAACAGTAGAAAGGAAAATTGGCATTCTAGGCTCTTAACCATCTGGAGCTGACTCCTTGCCTAGCTCTTTCACTACTCACTGTCCATGACCTTACTGCTTTGATCTCCTCAGCCCCCGGCCCAGAAAGGCCTTTCTTTCCATACTAGTTGTCCTATTTCCACATGTACAAATCCTACCCATTCTTCAAAACATAATTAAAAATGTCAAGTCTTCCATATTCTTACAAGGAACAGTAATCACTCACTCCTCTCTAAACTCTTCCAGTACTTTATCTTTATCTCTTTACCACCAGTAACTTTCTGCCTCATATTATCTTTGTTTCCATATTTAATCCCCCACATAAGCATAAAGGTCATGGTGCAAGGTCCACACCTTATTCATCTCTATTGAAACTGCTTAACAAAATGTCTTGCACATACTAGGCACTCCAGTTGAATTAAAGAATGGCTTGAGTTAGAAAAGGAGAGAAACTCACTAGAAACAACTCCAGGAGTCCCAAACCCTAGCTTTGCTAATAACTAGTTATATGACCTTGGACTTCAGGTTGTCAGTATGTTCATTTGCAAAGTTAGAAGGGTGGGCTGATCCAGTTTGTTTGTTTGTTTTAACTAGACTGTTACACATTAGTTGGGTGTAAAATTAATTTGGTGGTTAGTATTTTTTATAAACGAAATAAAAAGAATATATCAAAATACAGGCAGTTATATGCTATAAATGTTTAACAAATATGTGGGGAAGTAGGGGGTCAGAGCTATACTATTTGCTAGCTTCCCTGATGTAAAATACTCCCACCCTGACCAGTTTCAAGCTACAACATATCACTGAACTTGGAGCTAGGTGGGAAGAGATAGGCATAACTGCCCTTGCAAGCCAGTGTGAGCCAACTCAATACAGCCCTGAAAAGATAAGGAGTATTTCAACAAACTTTTCTTTCAAATTCATGTGTGCACGCACAAACTCATATACTGAAACACAATATAAAATGTAGTTCTTACTGTGTGTTACAGTCAAAACAGTTTAACAATGCCCAACTAAACAATCTCCTAATCTCCTCCACCTGTACTATATAATTCAATAATTCTTATTCTTGGTTATACAATTAACTATCTCTTCACCACAGTTGATATTTTCCTTCAAAAATGAGAGTAACAGATGTCTCTTAATATCACCAGCAAGCAAATAAATGACAGGGAGTAAGAATTTGGTTTAGAAATCATCAGCCAAGATCAAGTTCTCAGACTTTGTTCAGCCCCATATACCTAAAGGACACAAGACACTCCTACTAATAGCAATASCTCACTTAGGAAGGGGCTGGAGGAAAAGGAAAACAAAATCTGTACTATAAAAGCAAACATCCAAGTGATTCTGGTATTTGTGTTCATTCTAGGTCCAACTGAGAAACCTGGAATAGAGAAAACCAGTGCTGCTAAAAAAAAATTTTWAAAGTAAATTTTCCATACCTGATGTTTCCCAAAGTCCCAGGGACAAGCTTTCATTCTTCAATAGAACCTTTATTACTAAGTCTCTCCTACCAGAATTAAGTTTTTGCCATGCACTAGAGCCACACAGTATTTGTTGAATTTAGAATAGGCAAAAAGGAAAATAACTCTGCAAACACTTGTTAGACTTTCTATTCTGGGAAAATCAAGCTTTTGTTGAAAAAAAAAATACTTTATTTTCTTAATTCTTATTGAAGCTTACTGAACCAGGTAAGGGCAAAGAAGTTTCCTGAATATATTTTTGGCTGTACTATGTCTATCACAACATAACCTATAACCATATTTTTCATGAGTATTTATAAAGAAATGTCTTTTCCATTTTTAAGGCTCTTTAGAAAACAAGAATGCTCAGAATTTCAAGTACACTAATAACCTTAACCCAAATCTAATCATAAATCAACTGAATATATGCCCAGAAGTTTCCTAGGAAAAATCCCAAAAATTTACCAAAAGATTCCACAAAAGATTCAGTATGAGCATAAACTTGCTATGCTCAATTATGGCATTCTGTCTGTTGAATAAGAGCAATATAAAAAGTAATGAAGTATAAAAAAAGAGAATGTTGAGATACAAATTCTGCTTAATTCCAATAAATCTTCCTTATTATAGGGCCCACTGATGCCCACATACTTATGTCCAATTCAAATAAGAACTATAAAGTCACAATTATTCCCCATTCGGAAAAGCCAGGCATCAATTCAAGCAATGTCTTTCTCCATATCTCAATTTTAAGACTTTATTTAAAAACTGTCAGGCTCAAATCTGTCCTTTGCTTTCACTGTCATGGCAAATGCTTAGAAGACTTATCTCCTTAAGAAATCCCTGAGATTTCTTTGAAGTACCAGCAAGGGAATAGCCGTGGGCTACTGATGATCCTCAGGCCCTAGAGAGTTAGAAACTTGTAGCAACTCATTAAAACTTGTGAGACATGAGAAAAAAAGCTGTGTGCAGGGAATCACACAGGCTACAGTATGGACTTCAATCTCCAAACATCCTTAATTCCACTAAAATCATCCCAATACCATTTGAARAGAAAGGTAGGCTAGAAAGCAGTGCCAGTTCTACATCCTCAATACAAGAAATCTTTGCTACTTTAGCTACTCTCTCTTCAAAGTCAATATCTACAAGTTTGGCTATCTCCCACACATAATATTTTTACTTGGCATAACAGAATCTCTTCTTCTGACTACTCCCAAAAAATGAATAAAAGGACATTCAGCTTTTTTATTTTGTTTTGTATAGCGGTGCTGGGGATTAAACGCAGGGCCTCACACATTCTACCACTGAGCTACATCCCCAGCCCTAGAACTTTCAGCTTCAATGCCATATCATCTGAGAGTTCAAATAAATACATAGTAACTAAGCAATTTCAAGACTGGGTTAAGGCAAAGAAAAAAAAAAGGCTTAAGTACAAGTTTTTAGAAGTCATAAATTCAGAACTGGTGAGCTGATATACATGAAAACTCCTGTTTTACATGCCCAGTAAAATTCTGTCATTCAAAAAAAAAATTACCTCTAGCGTGAAAAAGATCTAAATCATGAAACAATTATCAAAGAAACAAAAATTATATCATAACTATAATATACAGAAATGCCCATCAAAAAACTCAGGTCAAAAAATAATAATAATAAACTTCATACATTTATTGTCATACCTTTTTAGGTTAGTCTGTAATGTTTACTATTTGCCACAATAGTACTGGGACCTACTACCTTGTTTCCAGCTTTCTAGAGTACAATGTATGCTATATAATATTCAAGAATAAGCCCTGCACTATTACATCTATTTCTCTCCAGATGACTTAATAATACAAAATATCAGAGCACATCTTGAACTGATTTAGTAGAGACACCAGTCTGATTCAAAGTCTTGGCTAACTTCCTAAACAGGTAAATAATTAATACAATTTGATAGTGTATACATTAAATTCATCTAGTCTTTCTCCTTTGCAATCTCCTAAGTTTCATATGGAAAGCTCTATAGAGATAATGAATCACAGGCCAGTTTTTCTGTGCTAGCAGCTTGTAAACCAATATTTTCCACTAAAACCACTTCCAATTTGACCACAAACTTCATGTCCATATCTTCTGATATCAAAACTACTGGATTTTCTCCAAAAGTGCAGGAGACAAAAAAATGTAAACACTATTATGAGAAAAGTCAAAAGGTTTCCATGAAATTAAGTTTTATGAATTGTAACAAGCAACTACTTACCTCCATTTATGCACAGAAAATTCAAATGTATTTAATTTCCCTAATCCTACCAGTGCCAAAAATATAGCCTTGAAATCAGATTTCAAACAGCACTGAAATCTGTCAAGCAAGCGAAAGTTCTCCTTACCATTAGTGTAAATGAAGTAGGCATTTTAGTTCATTTGCATGAAGCCATCAATTCTGCAAGTGACCGCCTAAATACTGATACATTTTCTAAGATAACTGAGAAGTTCAAGGTGAAAGAATTCAAAAGCACCTGAACACACTGCCTTGAGATCCGAAACAAACTCTTGTCTGTTCAGCCCCCTTGCTCCCTGCCACCTCCCACTGGCCAGTGGCCCCTTTCCACACGCTGACGCACTGCCCAGCCCTGCACCGTTGGCGACCAATGCAAGTACCAGCCTAGTCTCAAAAACTTTGACTCAGTTATCAAAATAGTGAGCATTCAAGACCTGGGCGAGGGAGTGCTGGGGTGTTTGTTGCCCAGGCGGTCAACTTCGAAGCGGGGCATTCCTAGCAGGTAGAGATCTGCCCAGGACGCAGCCCATCCCAGACTGAAAAACCACAAGCATTAACAGGAGCCCGGCAAAGTGCTCAGCCGAGGAAGGGGAAAAGCGAGCTAGAGACGCGGCCATCAACAGAAGCCTGAGTGTGGGTAATGCCCTAACCACACGCCCCCAGGACGCGGGGAGGCTGGGACTGCGACCCCAGCAGCGGCCGCAGCGCAGACGCCGGCAGCCGGGGCAGCGGMGGCAGCGGCAGTGTCAGGAGCGCGCAGCTGGAGGCTCCGGCTGCCCCAGCCACCACCCGGCCCCCAGGTGAGGGGCGCCCACCCCGCCCGCCGCCCGCCCGGGCCGCGAGGAGCGGCCGCCCCGGAGAGCTGCTGCGCCCTAGAGGCGGCCGACACCCCGAGCCCGCCCTCCGCCCCCGCCCACGTCCCCCCAGCACTCCGGCCCCGGCCCAGCCCCACCGCGACCCCTCTGGGCGCAGCGGCACGCCGACGCCCCCAGCAGGCCGACCCGGCCTGCCGCTCGGGGCCGGGCGCCCTCGGGCTCCGGGAGGCCGCCCGCGCCTCACCTCCTCACGTCTCCGCCGGCGCTGCCGGAACAACTCCACCAGGCACCCGCGTCCCACCCGCCGCCCCGCGCTCTGCGGCCGGGCGGTCCCGTTCACTCAGCCGCCGCCGGAGCCCTGGGAGGGCGGAGGGAGCGGGGCGGGGGAGCGCCGAGGGGAGGGGAAAGGGCCGGCTGGGCAGGAAGAGGCGAGGGAGGGGGCGGGAGGAGGCGAGGCGGGGCGGGCGCGCGCGCACCCGGCCCTTCGGCGCGGCGTGCGCGCTCCCGGCCGCGGAGGCGCCTTCTCTGCCCGGCGCCGGCGGCGCGGGCGCAGGCACGTCCCCGCTGGGCTGCATTTGAGCCGGGGCCCGCGGAGCCGCAACCTGACAGTACCAGAGTTGAAGGAGCGGGGACGCGCAAAGGCGCGTGAGTGCTCGAGGCGGGTGGAACCCGGGAGGGGACCCGTGCCTGCGAACGGCCCGAGCAAGGTGGACTGAACTCTAAGATTAATCCTTCCGGAGAAGATTATGTTCTTGCTCATAAGCCTGGTTTACATAGTTCCCACTAATCTTCAGAGAAGTCACCTCAGAGAGCAAACTTTGCACCAGTCACTCTTTTCCGTCCTCCTTTCAAGGTTTGTGTGCACCTGAAGCGTCCCCCTGTTGGTTGGTTCTGAGGGACTCAGAGATTGAAGAGGGAAGTAACCTGCGGGRATGAACGGGAACGCGCTGAGCACCGTACTGCCCGTATATGAAAGGACACAAGGTACCCTCGATTGCACCTTTTCGTCCTTTGGGGTAATAGGTCTTGGAGTACAAAAAAAAAAAAAAATAGAGATAAAAACAAGCCAACTCTTTTTCGCCACAGATGTATCGATTGATCCTTAAACTGTCAATATTCTTCCTAGATTGAACAGCCAAAAATGACTTGTACATTTTCTGAACCTCTTTGGCACTTTTTTTTTCCTGTAGATTCGTGACACTTATATCGTCAACCTTATTTCGGTTGATCTGTACAATATTTTGTCCCCCAGAAGAACCCTTGAGTATTTTCCACGATGGATCATGCCTGACTGATAGGAAGTGTTCAATAAATGTGACTCCAAAGAGCTCATGTGTTAGGCAATGTAGAAATGTTCAGAGGCGAAAGGATTGGATTATGAGAACTGTAAATAAAAGTGAATATAGTGCAGCAAGGAATAATTGTGTCCAGTGATTTCAGCTCTAGGATGACTTCTTTAGTTTAAAATGCTCCATTCTCTCCCACTTCAATTCCCAAGCCCTTGTTTCTCCATACAGATCCAGAAGCTACTAAGAAATGTGACATTTGTCCAAAGGGCCATCTAATCCCAAATTTCTTTTTACCTSTTTTCCTAAGGTTTATTTCTGAAGGTGCTGAGACATATCAAGAGTGTTCCAACTATTTTGTGTTTTCCCTGCCTGCTGGACTCCTTCCCAGAGGGCATTTTATTAAGCTCTGTATTCCCAGAGCCTTCCTAGCCTGGAGCCTAACTCAATGAATGCTGGTAGTGTTGGTGATTGTTGTGGTTTGGATCTAAAAAAGTCCTCCAAAGAGCTCACGTGTTAGGCAATGTAGAAATGTTCAGAAGCAACARGATTAGATTATGAGAACTGTAGTCTCATGAGTGGATTAATCTATCTGATGCATTAATGAATGGACTGCTGTGTGGTAACTATAGGCAGATAGGGTGTGGCTAAAAGAAGTAGATCACYGAGGGCCTAAGACTGTATCTTCCTTTCTCTCTCTTTCTCTCTCTCTCACTCTCACACTCTCTCAAGCCCAAAGCCAGAGTTGGCTGACATGACTGAACCTCTGAAACTGTGACCCCCAAAATAAACTTTTCCTCCTCTAAGTTGTTCTTGTCAGGTATTTTGGTCACAGCAATGAAAAGCTAACAGTGATACTTAATAAAGTTAGGATTAAAATTTAAAATTATGCAAATTACCTGTTGACTTGCTGAAACAAATTTAGTTTCAGTTTTCTTCAAGTACTAAGAATTGAAACCAGAGGCACTCTACCACCGAACTACACCCCCAAACCATTTTATTTTATTTTTAATTTATTTCTAAGAAGGGTCTCACTAAATTGCACAGGCTAACCTCTAACTTGTGATCCTTCTGTCTCCACCTTCCAAACTGCTGAAATTACATGCATGGGTCAGTCACCACACCCAACAACACACATGTTCTATTTGTAAATATTCAACAAGTAGGTGCTAAGGCTCTACTAAATAAAGTACAATAAAGAAACACTGGGCACCATGAGGAAATCAACAAATGGAAAAGCCACAATTTCTGCCTTCTGATATTTTCTCACAAAAGCAGAGCTTTTTGACAAAAAGGACAATGCTGAAATAATTATCTGCATTCAATAAGAAATGTAGCCAAAAAAAGAAAAGCATAAAAATTTTTTATGATGGAGAGTCCAAAACAAATTTAGTGTTCCCCAAATTCAGTTCCTTATGCCTTTAAAAATAATAATAGTGACTGCCATTGACTGTTTCCAGTTAGTTCTTCTATTTAAGTGGAGCATGTGGTAAGATCAATCCATGTACCAGCTTGCTAGAAAGAAAATAAAAACCCTGTCCCTTGGCCACATATCACACCAGGGATCATTCTGTAAACCTGAACTTTTTCTTCAAAGTAGACCCTAGATAAGAGACAAGGCATGAGAAAATTTAAATATAAGACAATGAATGTGGGCTGGGGATGTGGCTCTAGCGGTAGCACGGGTTTGATCCTCAGCACCACATACAAGCAAAGGTGTTGTATCCGCCAAATACTAAAAAAATAAATATTAAAATTCTCTCTCTCTCTCTCTCCCTCTCTCTCACTCTCTCTTTAAAAAAAAATAAGACAATGAATGTGATTTGATACAGATACATCCTCATCACAGGGAAAACAATTCTAAGCTTATGTCAATGAATTCATAACAAAGCTTCTCATAATGCTGCTCACTTCTCCCTCTACTGAGGCTTCCTTTGCATTAAGTGTGTCCTAGGAGCCCTGATCGGTGAACTAAAGGTCACACTTTGGGAGAAGGTGTTACAGAATATTTCAGCATGATTCACAATGTGACAAAAACTGGTGGACCAGTTTCAGATCTAACACACAAACTTATTTGTCCTGCATGATACTTGTTTAAAAACAAAACAAAACAAAAGTCAAAGTTAAAAAAGCAGATTTCACATGCATTTTGGGCTTCTCTTTTACTTTTCTTTTTTTTTTTTTAAGAGAGAGTGAGAGAGGGGAGAGAGAGAGAGAGAGAGAATTTTTAATATTTATTTTTCAGTTCTCGGCGGACACAACATCTTTGTTGGTATGTGGTGCTGAGGATCGAACCCGGGTCGCACGCATGCCAGGCGAGCGCGCTACCGCTTGAGCCACATCCCCAGCCCGGCTTCTCTTTTAAAAATGGAAAAAGTTAAACTCAATAAAAAGTAGATCTCATAACAATTGAGTTACATTCTCAGGCAACATCATTTTTAGGACATACGTTCTGTTTTGTCTCTGCATTCCATATCATTTCCTACACTATTTTGTTTCCCTCGTTTAGGTCTGCAACTCTCAATATACAATAGCTTAACATAAAAAACTGTAAACAAGTTAGACATTGGACAATAATGAGAGTTTAAATTGTGGTATTTAACAGAATATCATATTGCTTTTACAGTAGGCATTACTGGTTGATTCCCTACCATCCATTTTCACCTCTCTGCAATTGTATACAGCCAAGGAAATGAGTTGAGTTAGGCCCATCTTCAGCTCCAGGTGTGGGCCCTATTTTACCATAAGCAGCCTTTTTTCATCCTCAACTGACTCAGTGTTCATGGTTAGGCACTGGCACAGCTCTAAATTGGTCCAATCATATGGAAGGCCAGATTCTGTGTTAGGAAATGAAGAGTGTTCTCTTTCCCACTCTGGCTGGTCTGAGGGGTGAATGTGAGTCCTGCAGGCACTTTGCTAACATGAGGGAAGCCAGCCTGACACTGACTGACACATAATGGAARAACTCAAACCCAGTTTGAAGCCTTCCTCTGTGTTTAGTAACTTTTCTGAATCAATAAATTTTCTTAGCAGTTTAAGAAAGTTTGAGTTTGGCTTTTTATTATTTGCAACCAAAGCTATATTTTTCTATGCATGTTACAGAAGAAAGAGCTACCATTGTATTATCTGACTCTTCCAAAGATACATATCCAATGGGATGGTAACAATCTGTTTGGTAAGATTTCAGAGGGTCTTAAAGGAACTTGACCACTCCCCCAAAATCCTTCCCTGACTAGGTTATTTAATGCAATCATCACTATACTTTTTTTTAACTTTGATTTAAATCTGTGCTTTATTTAAACCAATTTCACTGGGAAGAGCACTTCATGACTCTAATCTGTTATCTTTTATGAGTTTATCGTGGTTTCTGAGTCATTTTTTGGAAGTGGAAAGACTGGAAAACATGACACTGACTTCCTGAGGAAGGGGGACATCGCAGAGGGAGCAAAAGATGTAATAGAAATGAGGCTAGAAACATAGAAAAAAAACTTTTCTAATTCACTTTATGTTGGGCTAAAATTCAGAGTAATCTAGACAAATCATACTAAACCTGTATGATAAACGGAACCTATATTACTATTACCCTTTTAAGACTGTATAAGAATAYACTCAAACAGTATGCATATGGGGATCAGGGAACTTCCTTATGGAAGAGGTAGGCAAAGCCAGAAATGTCTTTTCAAGAAGAATAGCTAGCCTATTGTTTTTATAATTTGATAAGAAATAAAAAAGATACCTGCCAAAAACTGTTTTCTATCCCTGTAGTGTCTGAAATTTATCCCACCATCAGAGTTCTTTTCTTTGATCTGGGACAGTGATCTACTATGTATAGTGTACAACAAAATCAGTTTCGGAGATTACTTTAAAATCCATACCTCTTTATCCAACCCCAAAGAAATTCAGTACCTCTGGGGTAGGATCCAGGACTTATTTTAATTTTTTATTATTAAAATTTTTTAAGCACATAAAAAGTAGAATATAATGAGCCCTCTTGTGCCAGTCACCAAGTTTGCAAAATATCAATGTAATCACCTCTTCCCTACTCTGCCCCCACTTGAACTCCACCCACAAATACTTTAATATATAGCTCTACAAAATAAGGATTCTTCTATTGCAATCAATAAAACCCAGAATGTAGGAT